ACAATCGTTAATGTTTTTGATGTGTTTGATCCCCTTTTTGTAGAGCTGGAGAAGGAACGAAACCGAGGCATTGGGAAACCGCTGCTGGGTGGACCCTTCTCACTCGTCAGCCACGAGGGACAGCCCAAGACCAACCAGGACTACGTGGGCCAGTGGGTGCTGATCTACTTTGGCTTCACGCACTGCCCTGACGTCTGCCCTGATGAACTGGAGAAAATGATCCAAGTGGTGGATGAAATCGGTATGGGGAATTCGGTTGACGTAGCGCTTGTTTTTATGGGAAGTCCGGGTTTATGGTGGTCAAATACTGCAAACGGTAATAACCGATGAGCTGTTTTTTAAAAAAAAATGATGTTGACCACTGCGTAGGAGTTGAATTAATTGCCGAGTGGTACAGACATTAATCTGCCTTTCAGTGGAAGCCAATATTTAGAGGATGACAGGGGACTTCTTGGTAATAATTGGATATTAGGAAGAATTTCTTTACTGAGAGGGTTTTCAGGCACTGGAGCAGGCTGCCCAGGGAGGGAATTGAGTCACTGTCCCTGGAGGTGTTTAAGAGAAGGGTAGATGCTGCCACGAGGGGCATGCTCTAGTGGTGTTGATAGGGCTAGGAAGAGGTTAGACTCGATGATCTTGAAGGTGTCTTCCAAGCAAAAGTGTTCTGTGATTCAATGAATAAAATGTGATGGTGGCAGGTTACAGGGAACGGTGCCATTGCATCATATTTCTGCCAAGAAGTGGTTGTGGGGTGCGTTAGGGTTTTTCCCTCCCTTCTATTTTATTAATTTTGAGAACAAATGTCTGTGAGAGCCGCTTTTGAAAGTGACAGAGTGATAGAGGTGGTTTTCTTGGCCCACGGACCCTGCAGCATTATGGAGCCGGGGTAATAGTAACCATGCAAGTGGGAGGGTGAAGTAACATGAAGATTTCCTGACGTTTGCTTCATTCACAAATTACATAAATTAAGCTGCACAAAAGGGACTTTTTTCTTGTCATTTAGCCTGGGCTTGGGTTGGTGTTACGGGAGCTTGGCTGTGATCTTGTTTGAAAGGGGATGAGAAACGTGTTTTAGTCTTCTAAGAAAAGTCACAATTGTAATGTCACAGATGGAATTCCATCTTTGCCCAATCTGACTCCGCTCTTCATCACCATCGATCCCGAGAGGGACAACGAAGAAGCCATTGCCAGATACGTTAAAGGTATTAATGTTTCCTTCCTCGCTGTCTTATAGCATGTAATACAGAGCACTGAAAAGGAGGCTCTAGATGGGATTCTTTTCATTAAAATGTCTAAATGCCTTCTTTCTATCTAGAATTTTCTCCAAAGTTGGTCGGATTGACTGGTACGAAAGCACAGATTGACCAAGTGGCCAAAGCTTACCGCGTGTATTACAGCGAAGGTCCCAAGGATGAAGACAGTGACTACATTGTAAGTAGATGTAAAGCCTTTGGCTAACGAAAGGCTTCGGATAAGAGCAGGATATAGGTTTAAAAATCGGAAGGCAGCTTTTGCAATCTGTGTTGCATCCCTGTATGACAGTGCCCTGTTGTGCCCATGTGTGAAGCTGTGTTTTAGAGGACTAGGCGAGAATCAAGGTGCCTTTTACAAGCTCAGAACTTCGCTGAAATGTGTTCTGAAAATGGATCATCTCAGGCCTGCATGCTTAAGAGCAGATGAGCTGGCAAGCCTGGCAGTAATTTGAACTTTTTTTTCTGTTATGTCATGTTGCTCAGAACTTCGCTGAAATGTGTTCTGAAAGTGGATCAGCGCAGGCCTGCATGCTTAAGAGCAGATGAGCTGGCAAGCCGGGCAGTAATTTGAACTTTTTTTTTCTGTTGTGTCATGTTTTTATCTGGCTGTTTTCCTATGTGCTCCAAAGTGAAGATGGAACTGGGAAATTAAGGTAATAGAAAGAAGGAGAAATGAGAGATAAAAATGAATAACAAGTCATTCCCTGCCAAACTGACACCAAGGGGCAGGGTCTTCTTGTCAAGAGACCTGAATGATGCGACGCCTGCCTGCAGGCAGCGTGTGCGTCTTCCTCCTGCATCAAGTGACTTGGAAGACAGAGCCTGTTAATGCTAAATTAAGTGGAAATAAAATGCATAGAGTAATAGCCTGAAGGAGGAAACTGAGACTTAAGTGAGACTCAGCTGGGTAGGAATGATTGTAGGGCTCAGAGCTGCTGCCAACACCTGCTTCGATAAAATTTTGAGAAACGTTCTTTCAGTGACAGAAATGCCGTTAAGTTTAACACATCCTTTTAGCTTGTGGTACTGGAAATGTTTATGTGATTTCTTAACTTCACCCTCAGATTGTGAATACGTTTCGATTCTTTTTCTCCAGCGGCTGTGGGACGATGTGGGCACTTGAGCAATCACAGAATCACGGCCTCCACTTTCAGTATTTTATGTCTTTGCTCCTAAAGCTGTTGTCACAGCTAGATGCAGGCAGTACTTACAGTGGCATTTCAAATAAATATACAGTGAAGTTTGTTTTCATACAAACTGTAACACCTCGAACGTTGAAGTATTATTAGTCTGAACGTTTTCTAAGGTTATTTCAATTCGGACAGCAGAGGGAGCCCCCTCCCAGCGCAAGAATTCTCTCTACACTAGCTCCTACCTGCAGCTCCTGTCTCCCAGTGGTGGATTTGCACTCTCGGTGAACTTGATTTAACGGACTACAGAATCACAGAATTGTTGAGGCTGGAAAAGACCTCTGAGATCAGCAAGGGCAGCCTATGCTTACACTTGATTTACATTGTATTAGGAGCAGGAGCTTGATACCTTGTTGGGGATCATGGAGCATCACGAAGAGCAGAGGGAAACTGGGAAAAGCGAGGAGGAAGGACCATTAGTGTGCAGATTTGCCCCAGCTTTGCCTGTGCAGCAGGAAGGGTGCAACAGCTCAGGGAAGACTTGTCTACTTAAAGTATTCTCTCACACTTTCTGAATATGCAGCTAGTTTTCTCTGATTATTTTCTTGAGTAAATCAAGAAGAGATTGCTGAGGTGATGTGGAGTTTCTCCTTATCTTGCTTTAACTTCTTGGTGATAAGTCTTGTCTTCTTGGTGAGAAGCCTTGAACCAAAGGCTGACTGGGACGCTGTTGCCGCTGACATCGAGAGATGTGCAGGACCTTCCAGTATTTAAAGGGCAGCTGCAAAAAAGGTGGAGACTCCCTTTTTACAAGGAGTCCTGTGGAAAAGGCAGGAGGTAATGGGTACAAGCTACTCCTAGGGAGATTCCGGGGAAGATTTTTCACAATGAGAACCATCAGCTGTTGGAATAATATCCCCAGGGAAGTGATGTAGCCCCCAACATCGGACACTTTTAAGATTCGGCTGGACAGGGTGCTAGGCCAGCTTGCGTAGATCATGCATTGGCCAAGAAAGGTTGGACCAGATGATCCTTGAGGTCCCTTCCAACCTGGCGTTCTGTCATTCTGTGGTCTTTTTTTACCAAGCCATGATGTGCTGTCTTGCAGGTGGATCACACGATAATAATGTACCTCCTCGGGCCAGATGGTGACTTCGTGGACTATTATGGCCAGAATAAGAGGAGCGCTGAGATTTCTGCTTCTATTGCTGCACACATGAGAAAGTACAGATCCTAAAACACAAGGTTTTCAGAGACTGATGTGAGCATCACCTGTAGTTGGGCATTGGAGTTAAAGCAGAAGCGTACACATGTAACAACTGGTCAGCACACGCCTTCTTTCTTCCAGATAAGAAAGGCAACCTCACTTCTGTGAAATACCATTACCAAAAATCTCTATAGAGCCTTCCCGTGGACGACATCTGCAGCAAGATCTAGGCTACCAAATGAAATTCTGAACTTCTCTGAAATGTGATTGGGAGCAAAAAAATGGAATACACTTCTCATTTGCGTGTGTATCGCTGCTGAAATTAATTGGTATCTCTTGGCAAGACGTCAGTGAAGGACGGTCGCTGCAGGAGTGATGACTGAGGAGAAGCCGCGTGGGCTGTGGCATTCTTGGAGGACACCTCCCCTTTTTTTTCTGCACTATTTTGCCTTCTGGGAGAGGCAGTTATGATATTATAAGCAGGAGAGCCTTAAGAGAACTTCTTTATCAAGGTTAAGAAGGTAAAGAGCACTGAGAGCTGCATCAGCAGCTTCCACTCATGAGACTGGCCCTGGAGTGTGCCTGATCTCTTCTTCTTTTGAATGCAGAAAGTAGTCTTTTTTCTTTTTTTTCCTTGGTTATTTTTCCAGGTGAACACTGTTATAAGGAAATGAGTAATGAGTTGCAAATAGATTTTTCTTTTGGTCTAAATGATTTTATGTGTAGTTGGCCTGATGGTGCTGTGCTGAATGAAAACTGAAGTGGATTAAGGGGGTCTGTGTCCATGAAGGGGGCTGTTGATCAGATAAAATTTATACGGTGCAACATTTGAAAATAAAGATTGCTTTGTATGAGCAATGTAATATTTTTTTTTCCTTAGTTAGGCTTGACTAGAGCTCTGTGAAGGAAGGAAGATTCCTGCCATTCCAAGATACGCTTTTTTAAAGTTCTCTCAAAGCATAGGATAGTTTAAAGAAGGGTTTAAAGGATCAACAAGAATTTTTCTGTGTCAGTTTACAGTGGGAGTTTTAAAAAGTGTCTCAGTGGAATTAAACTCAGCAGCTGAAAAGGAGGTTTGGTTTATTCTGTGTGTTTCCCTTCTTGCACTGCTGGCTCGGTTGCAATAGCCAATGGGAAGTGGCTTCCAAAGGAAATTTCACACTTTAAGGCTTCTCTGAATTAGAGGCTGTGTTTGGTTTTAGTTTGTTGGTTGGTTGATTTTTTGCTTTTTTGATTTTTGGGGAGGTTTCTTGTTGGTTTCTTGGTGTTTTTTTCAAGAAAAATCTGTTGTTTAGGCAACGGTTAGGCTTTCGCTGCCCTGCCTTGGTGCCAGCAGGAGCACGGTGCTCCCAGGCCATGGGCTGTGCTGAGCGCTCCCCAGGAGGAGGCAGAGCTGCTCAAGGGGTGGATCTGTGGTGGGCGGAGGACTTGGAGACGCTTTGCCCGTGGATGTCCAGTATTTCTCCAGTATTAGAAACGGAGCAAACTCTCCCTCTGCTTGTGGCACCCGGTTGCCCCGTAGCCCCGAGCACAGAGCTCAGTCCGTGGGGAGGGAGCTGGGCTCAGGCAGGTGAGGGATGGGCCAAGGGCTCCCTGAGTGGGTTTCTCCTGTGGAAACTTTATGGGTATCACTTAGGAACCAAATGTGTTTGAGTCTGGTGCTGGAGTCTGGTCCCCTCGGGTGAACAGGGACCCTGGGTACCCCACGGACAGACGGACGAGGCGGTACGAGGCAGAGGCCATTGTGCAGAGTGTCGGTGTGTGTGTCCGCAGCACACCCAGCCCCAGCCGACTTGTCCTGCAAAATACCAGTGGAAAATAGCATCTCCTCAGCACAAATGGCATCCGTAACGCTGGCTGCAGAGCTGATCCCAGGCTGGGGACTAGTGACAGGATGCCTGAGGAATGAGGGGTGGCTCCATTTGTCTACCCAAGGAAGGCAATGCATTCCTTGTGTGCTGCGCGTGTAGCCTGTGGAGGAGCTGAACTAAGGAGCGTTACTTAAGCCACATGGGTGAAGCTGCCTGTTTTAGGCATGTTCTTGCCACCGGCAGAGGCGCAGCCTGGGACTGAAGAGGTCCAGAGACCTGCAAAGCCCGATGCTGCACTTGCAGTCCAGATCATGGAGTAACTTACATGGAAAGGAACCTCGGGAGGTCTGCAGTCCAACCTTCTGCTCGAAGCAGGGCTAGCTATGGGTCAGACCATGTTCCTCCGGGTTTGAAACAGCTAGGGCTTGAAAACCCCTGAGGCTGGAGATTACACAACCTCCGTAGATGGGTAAAAAGTTTCCTACTAGAGCAAATCTTTTTTATGTAAAGGAAACAACCTGACCTTCTCCTTTTAGCCAATGTTTTCATTCTTGTTCTCTCACTGTGCACCAGGATGAAGAACCTGACTTCATCTCCTCAGAGGTACTGGGAGGCTGCTGTTAGATCCTCCTGAAGCCTTTTACTTCCCAGGGCCAACAGGCCTTGTTCCCTCAGCCTCTCCTCGTGTTGTGTGCGATGGCTGACTCCAGACCTCTGACCATCTTGACCTTGGATTCTTCTCCCCAAACTTCCTCCTGGCCAGTCAGCTCCCAGCATGTTTTGTTTTTTGCTTTTTGTGGGTTTTGTTTGTTTGTTTGTTTGGGTTTTTTCAAGGACGTTTTCCTTACTGGGTGCAGGTGTTTGCACTGATCCTTGTTGATAAAGTTCCTATTGGCCCATCCCTCCAGCCTGAGTCCCTCTGGATGGCAGCTCTGGCCTAGAAGGTATCAGCTGCTCCCCCCACTACATTGCCATCTGCCAAATTTGTAAGCAAATGTGTTGTCTCTACCAGGTCATCGATGAAGGTGTTAAACAGGACTGCTCTCGGCATGTGACCCCATGACAGCTGTCCTCCGAGTCTTGTTGGCCAGCCAGGTTCTGTGCCCTTCCCCTAGCCTGGGCACAAGACTGTTGTGGCAGATGGTTCAGGGAGCTGGGGCTGAGCAGCACCCCCTGCTCTCCCCACATCTGATCATTTTAAAGGCAAGCAGGATGGTCAGATGTGGTTTATTTCTTAGTAAATGCACACTGACTCTTTTATGTGCCCAGAAGTGTGCTCCAAACACACTTCTGTGGTTGGATTTGTTTTATTTTTTCCCCTCTTCATTGAAATACTTTCTGCTGCACTTAAGAAAGGAAAAGCAAATTCTTACCTTGCCTGGTGTCTCTTGAGAGGATGCAGGAGCCAGACTGGGCATCAGTCCACAGTCATCAGGACAAAACCCAAATTAGGTTTTATTTTTCCATACTCTGTCACATGTGGACTGTCAGTGTGAAAGTACTCCATGTGCCTGCTAGGATAGCCAAAAGGACTCAGTCCAAATCCAGTTTTGATCTTAAGGAGAATTGACCTGGATCAAATGGTCTGTGACACAGGAATTTATCTGCTCCCCAGCTCTGACACCGTGTGTGCTGCAAGCTGACGAGCTCGCTTGTGCCTGGAGCACAAGGGGTTCAGGCTCCTTAGAGCAGAGAGCAGTGCTACAGCCACAGCCGGCCCTGCCTGGCAGCGCTGTGGTGACGAGGGACTGAACAGCATTGCTGGGAGCAGCGCAGGGCACCGCAAGCCGCGGTACTGTGAGGCTGTTGTGATGGTCAGTCAGAAACTGCAGCGGTGGCACTGAGCTTTGGTGGCAGAGTTGTCTGGCCGTTGAGGAAAGCTGACTGGGAATCAATGTCCTGGAGCCACCCAGAACCATTTAACCCTTGTTGCTCGTTAACTGTTAGCAGCCTGAGGAAGGAAACAAGTCTTCCTCACCCCCATTTTGCGTCACAGCCATGCGTGGCTTGAGGTACTGTAGCTCTTTCTCCTTTTCTCAAGTAACTTTGTAGCTTTCTACATTTTCTGAACCTTTCCTCACTTCAGGCTTCTGCAGTGTGAGCACTGATTTTGCATTAAGAAGATGCTCTCCCATCAGCCTGTAGCCAGGGCAGTGGGATGATGAGGGGTCTCGTGCTCTCCCACACAAAGGGAAGCTGAGAGAGCCGGGTCTGTTCAGCCTGGAGGAGAGGAGGCTGAGCGGGAATCTCATCAATGCTTATGAATATCTAAAGGATGTGTGTTAGGAAGAAGGGGCCAGACCTTTCTCAGTGGTGTCAAGTGACAGGACAAGGGGAAGTGGTCACAAACTGGAAAACAGGAGGTTCAACCTAAACATAAGGAAATACTTCTCTACTGTGAAGGTAACAGAGCCCTGGCACAGGCTGCCCAGAGAGGGTGTGGAGTCTCCTTCACTGGAGACTTTCAAGACCCACCTGTACATGTTCCTGTGTGACCTACTCAAGGTAATCCAGCTCTGTCAGGAGAGTTGGACTACTTCATCTTCAGAGGTTCCTTCCAAGCCTGACCCTTCTATGGCTTGGTGAACTACAGGATGGACCTGAAGTCTGAGCATTGGGCCGGCCTCTTCACCACCCAGCTGCAAATCTGTAAGTATCTTCAGTCATGTAAAACAAGCGATGCCGTGAGGCACCGAAGTTACCGGTTACAGCTGAGGCTTCCCAGTCCCTGCTGCTGGCGTCGGGTGCTCACCTGAAAGACCCAGGACCTGAGCTCCAGGGCAGTGTGTGCTGGGGCTGCTCAGGAGCACTAAGTGTGTACTTAGTGAAGCAGATATTCTGGGCTGTGCTGCAGGGGGAATAGCTGCTATTAGATGTAAACTGATAAGCAGGTCTGTTTTACAGGATTGCTCTTAGGTTTGATGGCCTAAAAAGACAGTGGACTAAAGGAAAGAAAGTGAACTATTTTCTCCCTAGAAGAGAATTTAAAATGTTCAGTTTGGTTCCAACAGGAACTGATTTTTTTTTTTAAAGCAAGGTATGCTGCTCGTGGTGTATCTAGCCCCTGACCTCCAGCAGCTCTGCATCACTTGTACCTTTTCCTGGCAGTATGAGGATCTGGGCTGGGAAGACCTGAGTGGGAATGATTGCATCTGTCTCTTGCTCTCTGTGTGAGAGCCAGCTCATTCCATGTTTTAAGCTGTGTATTACTAGTTTAAT